GTCTTATCCATGTTTGCCTCCAGTTTAATCATGACTAAGGTGCAGGCACTGATCTCTCCAGAGGGCAGCAGATCCTTCTCTCCAATGATGGCGTTTATCAGAGAGCTCTTTCCAGCCCCAGTTTTACCAAAGACACCGATCAGTTCCCTCTCGTCTGTCTTCAAATCATTTATTTTTTTTTCCTGTTTAAATGAGTTAATCTTGTGTGAAATTTGCTCTCAGGATTCTCTTGTGAAACAAATCTTGATGTCAGTGTAATAATTAAAGGTTAACTAATTACAGCTAAGTCACGGTGCCATACGGTGCTCTTTGGTCAGTGTTGGTGAACTCGTTCTGATCTCTCTATAGATCTGGTTCATGGTTCAGGTGTAGACCAGGGAAATACTCACTTCAGGAAAGCATTGAGCTTTGTGTTGTCATCTAGTCTGCCAAGGACATGTCCCATGATTCTTTTCACCTTAAACAGCATGTTGACTTCTGTTGGTGTAAAATAAAGAGGTTATAGACAGACAAGTGACATAAAAAAAAAAAAAAAGGCTGGAAAAGTACCAATTAGATGACAAATTAAACTCTGTGAGAGTGGCAGCAGGAAGCAAAGTACATGAGCAGGAAGGAGTGGTTCATTACGATAGAAAAAGTGGTTTCTTCTCTACAGACAGCGCCTCTCACCAGATTACTCTCCTCTCCAGGTTGAGAAAAATCAACTGCAGTGGAGAAACTTGTCATAGACTTTATTAATCCATCCATCCATTATCTGTACACCTTCATCCTCACCAGGGTCACGGGGGGCTGGAGTCTATCCCAGCTGACTCAGGGTGAAGGCAGGTTCACCTGGACAGGTAACCAGTCTATCACAGGGCTACACTTAGAGACAGACAACCAAGCACACTCACATTCACACCTACGGACAATTTACAATCACCAATTAACCTCAACATGAGAACCCACACTGCACAGGGAGACACCTGAGGCTCCTCTGAAGGAGTGAAGCAATCTGCTGGGACCCAATGACCACAACTTTGGGTTTTGTGTCATTCAGCTGAAGAAAGTTCTCTGACATTCAGGTTCTCACATCCACAATACAGTCAATCAAAGCACTCAACTTTCCAGGGTCAGTGGCCGTGACGGGCAGGTACAGCTTCTTGTCATCAGCATAGAAATGAAATAAAACACCATGTCTTTGTATTATGTGCCCCAGGGGAAGCATGTACAGGGAAAATAAAACTGGACCCAAAACCGACCCCTGAGGCATACCGTAGTTAACTGGTAAAAGTGACGGCACGTGGTTGTTTGCTGCAACACAGAACCTTCTATTAGTAAGGTAAGATTAAGACTACTCTAAAACGCAGTCTGTTTCAAAGAAGCACCTGTTTCAGCTGCATTTTGCTAAAAGTCATGTAGAGAATCCTGTTTCTACAAGAACTTGAGGACTTCTTACAGAGGATTAGTCCTGTCACTCCTAGCAGGGACGGTGCTACCCGAGTGTGAATCCATCACACATCACATGCTTCTATCTGTGCTTTTCTTGCTGTCATCACCAGAGGGCAGTAGTAGCCAATGTTCTGATTTATCCCTGCAGCATTCAAGACAGAATGTTTCAGAAAGAAAATTAGGTGTCATCATTTGTCAGAATCCCTCTTTTTCTTCCTTTTGTCTTTTATAAAACAGACGCTATGACACTGACACCAATTTATCAGATGAAACTGTCTGGATTAGTGTCTGTGATTTATCAGAAGAGCAGGAATGAAGTGAGCAGACAGGAAGACGTCTTGATTAAAACACCAGAGTCCAGTAGCTTCCTTTGAACAGGACGTTGTGCTCATGTCTCATTTGTATTTCTGCTTAAAACACTGAGTCTGTGAAGGTGAGTCCTAAAGCACTAAATATTAAAATATCTACGCAATATTAAAAAGTGTGTTCTCATTACACATTTCAGTCACCTCTGATTTATCAGCTCCTTGTAGAAAATGTTCTGGTTTTTCTGCAGCTCCATTGTTTTGGTTGATTCATGGTGTAGTTTACTAGACTGTAGACTGTACACGACCTGGCCAGCAGACTGACAGACACAGTTAGAGGCTAAGTAGTGAATACAGTGAAGCCTTTGGCTGCTGAAGTGTCAGTTACATCCCTCAGGACTCGCCAGAGACCAAACCAGCCAAAATGAACCGAATATTGGACTTCACCGCCCATAGAAGTGAACATAAGCCAGCACGGTGTTAGAAAAGTGCTGCAAAATAAAAGCTGACAATAAAACCAAATTAACACCTCACTGATATCAACAACAGGGATCATTAAAGTGTGATTCATTTCCATTCTGCCGTGTTGAATTGAACTGGGTGTAGCGACCGGTACCGAATATACTCGCCGTGTGTTCGGGCGACTCTGCAAATGAGCGTCCCCGTTCACCTGCCTCTGCCAAGCCCGGCTGACCAGACCTTTCCATGACCTTGCTCAGCGGTGACAGCTGCACCCAGTCTCTGTGGGACGGCACACCATCCCAGAACCAGCCGAACAACGGCCCCTTCAGCA